GAGTAGTTTATATGAATTACTCTTTGTATGTTGGCATCTGTGATTCGTTGTTGCAAGCAGTAGATGTCTTTTTAAATGATTGATCTTCACCTGGCAAGTTAGAGCCTTTACTTTGAATGCAATCATCATGACATTAACATAATTGTTAATTACCTGTTTAAAAAAGAATTTATAAACATTTTATTAATTATTACCAAATACATTAACAAAAACACTATCATTCTTATCACTCCAATGTACCTATTTAAGAATGCAGAATTTTTTTTAAAAACCCACCTCTGGCTCGGCCCTTCGGCTCTCAGATAACGCTAGTTACACCCATAAATACTTAGCCACCCCCCAGTCGGACATCTTAGCCGCCCCATAAATTATATCATACTATCATATATCACTGTCAAGGAGAAGAGCGACCTGACTTCATTTAAAACCCGACTCGGGGTCTGCAGTGCAAGCAGGGATAGCTCTTGGCCAAATGCAACAAACATTTTTATGTTACTACAATAAGCTAGGCCTAGACTCAGCGGTGAAGCCAGAGATTTGCCGACAATGGGTCTAACGGAGGTCCGAGACAAGCAAGCGCCAATGAAGCCTCGGCCCTGAATAAAACCTCCCTTGGACCTTGTAGGGTGCACGGGGAGAGTTTTTATGGCTTAGAATGGTCCAATGTGCAATAGACCACAATAATATGATGACACTGTCGACAGTCAGTCAAAATAATGCCACGGTATGTTTAATTTGGATAGGTAAAAAACTATTATTTTTAATTTTGGATCCGACAACTTAGGAGTGCGTTGAACGACAGGGGGTCTATCCAATGGGGGAATTCCCCCTGCCGCCCCAACCCCCGCTGCGCTGGAGCCACCACACCACAGACTAGCTAGGGCCAGGCTAGTTCAGAATCAGGCCTAGGGCCTAGGCCTTAATTAAATAACCTCAACTGTACTTAGTCCCTGGTCTAGCCTACTACTCCTTATTTTAGGCTTCCAGACCAGATAGCCAGCCCAGCCTACCAAGGCTAGACCTACCTACTAAGCCGGGCCCTAGCTAGGCCCCAACTAATAACAAGCCTAGCTGGGTAGGCCTAGCCTACTACTAGCCTAAGCCTCCTTCGTTCAAAATCATAGTTAATAATAATCATTAAACGTTTGACCTTAATGGCTATCTAAAGTATCAAATGAATGACTCCTTGTTTACTGTACGCTACGTACTACAGTTTTTAGGGGCCGGGGACAGAAACGGCCTCGAGTCGTCGAAGTGGCCGTAAGTCTATAAACAAGTAATTTGTATGTCCAATCGTTGTGTATGTTGGACAATTAAGCCTACAGTAGGTATCAGACTGCGATGAAAATGTTTAATAAATTATCAAATCAATGTCTAATTGATGTTTTCCTAACTTGTGTTGTGTTTGTTATGACCCATTATCAGTTGTTACATTAAATGCAATTTAAAGGATTAACAAATATATACCTCTATAAGTTTTATCTCTTTGGTTTAGGCAAGCTTATTGTAATTAAAAAAAAAAAAAAAAACTTAAATTTTATGTTTGTACCTGTTTTATATTTTATCTTTATGATAAATTACATATATTTCCGAGTGACATTTTTCAACTGTGTTATTAGAAACATTTTTTCGCACATAAAATATATTTAAATTTATTAGACTTCTCTCGAAAAAAAAAGGGTAACTTCGTCACAAAAATAAAAACAATAAAGAAATGCGTTGTGTCTTACTTTGTACTAATTTTATATTCATTAATAAACTACAGTAAGACTACATCCTTCCTTCTATCGCGCAGCCAGTGACGTGTGTGGATGGGGTTTGTACCTTTGTACGTTTGTGTGGGCGAATTTCCTCCGATCAACGCATGCGAACTGACTGACATACAGTAATTGCCCTCTCCCTCTCTCTCAGAAAAAATTGGAAACTTAGGTTTTCTTCGTCTGTAGGCCTATGTCTTGCCAATATAAGAGCGTGTGAACAGGCACAGTGCGGTGTGAAACTGTCCAAAAATATCAGGGGCGGATCCAGAAATTTTCTGACGGGGTTGGGGGGGGCAATAGGTAGTCCACACTCACCTCAGTCCCACTATGGTTGGGGCTGAGATGAGCAAATTTTAAGAATAGGCCCCCTCTAGACGGTCGGAAAAGACACTCTCAGGATCGACATTTGAATATTTTATCTCATTTTTTTTTAATGTTTACAATGTATGGGGGTCCTTGCTGAGCAACCCACCTCCACTGGATTAATATAATATATACCATGTAGTCGATGTCAGTGACACGTTATGCTGAAAAATATTATTATTCAAAATTAGTGAGTGGTAAAAATAATCGAGCTCTCCTTTTGCCCACTGCTGGATATGCCACTGAAATCACGGTACTTTTTTCTCCTTACCCCCTCCCCCCGCTATCATTATCATCATTATTATTAATCATTCACATCATCATCTCCATATCTATAATATACCTGTACAAAATAAATAAAAGTAGATAATGCTTTACGTACTCCTGTGTCACTGTGTGTTCAGTATCATAGTTCTGAAGTTCTTACATTCTCATGGGTTACACCCGTTACGTTTAAATTTTCTATATTATACATAATAATGATGAAATAAGAAACACATCAAATCTCAACCAAACAAATCATCTATGTAAATTTCGTCTAGGTATTCATCGTCTGCAAATTGAGCATCTTCATTCATGGTGTTTTTATCATCTCTGTTCTGACAGTTTGTACATTGACAAAGATCGGAGCATTTCATGTTCATTTTATTGCACTGACATCTGCCTTGATTGCACCCGGTCTTACAACCGCATTTGATGATCTCCATTAAACTATGCCTACTATAATATTTAAAATATACAATTTTAATTTATAAGATTAATTTTTACATGAACATAATAATTCATACTTAAACAATATATTAAATCTAAATGTAAATATAATGACATTAACGAATAAATAACAATAATTAAACGTGTACATAGTATCCATCACTACTACAATAACAAAATTAATATTTTTCAATCTTATAATCAATTTTATATAGCCGGAGTTAGTTTCGACCTAGGCAAACCTTTGCTAAAAAGGTACACTTTCTCCATCAAAAGGCTTTTTCTATGAATGCAATGACCTGTTCGAAGCACGAACTCCTGTAGACCAAACCCAGAACCGTTACGATTTTCAATCGTACGGGAAATCCACTCACGAAGCTAAGTGGGGTAGGGCCTGCACAGTCAGCACCATTTTTTTAAAGAATATTTTTAATACATTGTACAATGTGTCTGGGTAAGGTACTGACGGGACTACACTACACTTGGTAATGATAACTTATCATTGCTATCGATTTCGTGTCGATGTAACGACGATAGCAAACAGGGTGGAAGTCTTATCACATCCTCGTAATCGTATGTCTTTCCCTTATCCATTCCAACCAAGACACAAGAGGCACATCCTATGCTAGTTAAGACACAAGTTTGTCATCTATAGTTTGGTTATGACTGTCTAAAACTATCCATAATTTGTTACAAGTAACAATCTTCAAGAATCTGGTTGCTGTAACTAGAATTGAAGTTTCATTAGCAATTTCTTCGCGGTAAAAACAACACTTTATTACAACACCGGCACACTGTCCGCCGCTAGTCGCCATGTTGTTGTTTATTGTTGTTGGCTGTACCACAACACGTGAAGTTATTGTAACAAAAACAATTTAATAGTAGTCTAAAAAATATTATTCTGTAATTAAAATTCAAACTATATCTAATTATAATTTTTAAATTTGTTTTTTAAGCAGTAATACGAAGTTCGCAAATAATAAACTACGTATCAACAATACAATATTCGAACGAGTACAGTGACGTTTACAAAATGTCGTGTGCTAATCTAGCGCAAAGAACTTTCAATTTCGTAAGTTTAAACGTCATTTTCTCGTATTTGCAGAAGTTCTGACGGTCGAACTTTTTTTTTGGTGCTTTTAAATATTATTATAATAATGATCATAATGAGTGAAAGTATTAGGAAAATTTCGGAACGGGACTGAACGTTAGGATTTTCACCCCATGGCCTAGAACGGGTAGACCACCCGCGGATACTTTTACCGGTAAGAAACTAGTAAAGGTTTTCCGGTTCTCGCCCGAACGCACCCTAAGAGTGCCCTAAAGCAGGAGTTCAGCTTTTAAAAATTGACTGATTAATACATTAAAAAAATTATATTCTCATATATAAATAAAAGTATTTTGAAAATCAAATATATTTATATACAATTGGATTTTTTCCTACCTTAACTTTCACTAATGGAATCATTTGAAGGTGGCTTGCCCAATCAGGTGGCCTGTAACTGAGTAGTTTATATGAATTACTCTTTGTGTGTTGGCATCTGTGATTCGTTGTTGCAAGCAGTAGATGTCTTTTTAAATGATTGATCTTCACCTGGCAAATGAGAGCCTTTGTAACTTTGAATGCAATCATCATGACATTAACATAATTGTTAATTACCTGTTAAAAAAAGGATTTATAAACATTTTATTAATTATTACCAAATACATTACCAAAAACACTATCATTCTTATCACTCCAATGTACCTATTTAAGAATATAAAATTTTTTTAAATGATTAAATTTTCCATTTTTATCAAATTAAAAATATTTGAAATTCGAAATTTTGGCTGGGTCCCTAAGAACCCACGGTAGCCACAGTGCAATGCCAGTACCAACATATCTAATTCTCACGCGAGGATTGTTCAAGGAGAAGAGCAATCTGACTTCATTTAAAACCTGACTAAGGGTCTACAGTGCAAGAAGCAGGGACAATGCTCTTGGCCAAATGCTTAGCTATAAATATAACTTTAAACATTTTCATGTTACTACATTAGGATAGGCCTAGACTCAGCGGCGACGCCAGAGATTTGTCGACAACCGGTCTAACGAAGGTATGAGACAAACAAGCGCCAATGAAGCCTCGGCCCAGAATAAAACCTCCCACCTTGTACGATGCACGAAGTGAGTTTTTATGGCTTAGAATAGACCACAATAATATGACATTGGCAGTCAAAATAACGGTAATGTTATGTTATTTTTGTAGAAGCGGTTGGCGCATCGGTCTTGGACTCCCAACCTACTGAAAGGCCAAGAAAAACATTATCAAATAAACAAAATGACTCCTTGTTTATTGTACGTGTTACGTTTACAGTACGTAGTTAGGGACCCGGGCGAAGCCTAGCTATGCTAAATATTCCTCCTTACAATCTTAGGCAGAGGATGGGGTTCTGCTCCTCCGATTGCTCCGATCATCAACACATGCGTAAACCAGGGTTGCCAGATAGTCGACAGGCTTCACGGCCAAACACACGCCATCTCACGGCCAAATTCGGCCAAACTTTTTTTCGGCCAAAATTCGGCCAGATTTTAATCCGATAGATGACAACCGTGGGTACATTCATTTGAAATGCTACAAAAATTATACGAAAATCAGCGGTCATTCGTTTTAAATTGAAGAAATTCAAATGATATACACAGAACAATGTTGAAAATAAATAGCATAGTTGCTGGCATGCAGGCCAATTCAGGGGCAATTCCAAAGATGTCCGAAAGGGGGAGGACAGGGGCCGAAAAAATAGGAGGAGGGGGTGTGGGCGAAAGTGGGTCCGATCGAGATAACACCATCTTAGAAGAGATTTGTCTTTTCTAGACGCCCGAAAATAACCTGATGCGTTTGGGCGATCAATTTTCCCTTTCCTTTTTTTTTTTCTTTTATTTTTTACCACACCTCCTTAATAAATCCAACTCTGCTATTTAAAATCACAATATTAAGATTGATCTAAATTTGATTTAAATGTATTAAATATTAATGTACTTTGTAGTCGATCTATAGCAAACATTAAGGGCCTGTTATTGGCAAATCCGTGGCTTTCTTTAATTAGAATGAATTAAGTTACATAGTTAGGTAACACAAACGGTGTTAAATCTATGAAAACTTCAATAAATACATTTAGGCCTATATAAACTTTCGAAATTCACCTCTGAATGTTATTGTCGCAGTACTTAAAGCAATAAATCAATGTTGCTATCAGAATTATCTTCTTCATTCTCATATGCAACGTAACTCCAGAGTAACTTCAAAGAATTGCAAAACTTGCTTGAAATTGGGTTTCATCAGACCCGAATGAGCATTAATATCGCTCTACATAAAGAACAATGCGGCACCTAGGGCAATACAATTCAAGTTGGCAATAATATATTAAATAAAGTACAGTATTAAATTTATATTCAAAAGAAATTCAAAAGAGATAGAACCTCCACTAGTAAGATAGAATATACAAAGACACACAATGGTACAAACTTGCAACTCCCTTAATAAAGCTTAAACGAGGATAGACTTCATAAACAATATATTTCATCTGAACAATTTAAATTATTAATGTAACTGTTATCTTTTAAATAAACTCTCTTACGTCAAATTGGCTGAATCGGGGAACATATATTAAGTGTTTATAGTGCAAGTACAAACAATTAGAATCAAATATAGAATTTAAGCTAACAAAAACAAAATATCCAAAACAAGTCTACGTTATATTAGGCTATATTGATAAAAAATGTAAACTTTTCAAAAATTCGGCCAAATTCGGCCAAATATAGTTTGGCCGTGACTTTTTTAATGCTAAGGCCAGGCAAATTTTTATACGGCCAGATTTGAGGAATCTGGCCGTCAAAAAGGCCAAATGGCAACCCTGGCGTAAACTCTGAAAATTATACAGACATACGTGCGAAGTCTAATAGTAATACTGCCCTCTACAGAAATAAAGTCATTTTGTCTGTTTCAGAGACTCATAAAATTCCAACTAAAATATTGAATTTCTTATTTAATGATTTTTAACTTCCAGTGAGAATTACATAAATTAATGGTTAGTCTTTCGTCTTTAGTTTTTATTTTTGTTTAGAAAGTTTAAATAATATTTAAGGGTTATGAACTAATATGATGGTGTAGGAGCAGGCAGGTAATTGTATTATCCCGATATTATCACAATGACGCATTATAGATACGATACGTGATATGATGATTTTTATGAAGACATTGCGGTATTTGATTTAATTGAAATTAATGACCGACACAATGTTGATAACGACAGCAATAAAGACTACTTGGATAATTACGACGATAGTGATGATGATTGTTGGCTGATTGATGAGAGTTAATTTTACACGTCAAGTACAAAACACTCCTTTTAAGATTTAAAGATTGCTAGGGAAAAATCATAAAATAACACACAATCAAACAATGGATTTATAAGGCCCATAATACAGCATTCTCTATACAAGGCTGTACAGGAGGTGCCACGGCCATATTCCGTGCCACAGCTCCAACTATTGTGGCTGGGGAAATCTGGACCCTCCCTTTAATTTGTCTTCTCTCCCGGTTCCGCCCTGTTCCCAAGGGCGGAACCGGAGGGAGGGGGAGGTGAAGTTAGGCGACACCCTCAAGTGAACAAATTATAAGAATAAATTTCTCTAGACGCTCGGAAATGGCACTCTCATATTGTAAAAATGCTTTTGTCAAAGCAATGTTCCTCCTCAAAAACTATTGAGTTCTTCCTGACGGGAGCTATACTTCCCTATCTCAAACAAATGTCTAATAAAGGACCTGTATTATATTCTGTACTGGAGTCGAAAAGCAAATTATTATTATAGCACTGAATTGGCACTCATTCAGACTTAAAATTTGAATATTTTATCTCCATTTTTAAAAATTTGACAATGACAATTTTAATGGTGGGGGGTGGTCCTGGCCATTCCCACTGGATTAATATGATATTTATCATCCACAGTCGATGTCAGAGACACATTACCGTGTGTTGTGTATTAATAAAACCCTTGGATCAGCGAAGGGGCTCATACGGGTCGGTGGTCCTCTGTGGACCGCCGCAGGAGAGCACCACTTGCGTTACGCCACTGAGCTGTTCTAGCTGGTAGTAAATTCCCTACCGTACTAATTCATCTTTGGCTTTTTTTTGTACACCCTGATGATATATGAAATCCTTGGAAAATCAGCGTCGGGGATATAACGTTGTGTTAGTCGTCAATCAATAGAAAATTCAAAATTTAAAATAGTATAGTGGTAAAATAATCGAGCTCTCATTGCACCCATTGCTAGGTCTGCCACTGATATCGTGGGTACACTTTTGTTTTTCCTCTTATCAATTTTTTTCTACCTCTTTTTCTTTATTTTTCGGCGGAATTGACGTGGGTGAGGGAGGGAGCTAGCCTCCCCCTAGTGTCAATCCGCTGGATCCTACTTCCAAAACATGAATCCGTCACTCTGATCATGAGATTGTCTGTCTTTCCACATTTCGAAAAATAGGAAAACACGAGTAGGGCAATTTAGATCCATTAACTTCTGATTCGTACATCATTAATAATATTATATAATGGATGTATTTTATAATGGCTGTATTTTATAACTTGTACGCCTAATTGTATCAACGTGTTATTGTTTTGTGTACTGAGTCACTTCTTTTTAAAAGCGCATTGTACCCTCCGGTGGGTATTAAAAATAGCTCATATTTGTTCAAAATATACAAGATCTATGTTTTGTTTGCCTACTTCGAAACAAATTTTAAATTGTTATTTATTTGAAATTGATGAACGACAATTTGATGGTGACGTCGATAAGGACGATGATTACGACGATAGGCCTACTGACGATAACGTTGGCAGTGTTACGATGACTATAATGAGAGTAAATTTTACACATCACTGAATACTTTTCATAAATAATAGTTTATATTCCTGAACCAAAGTTTCTTCAACTAAATGTGATTACAATTAAATACACGTTGGGGCTTCGTATTTAGTTACATACCCTATGTCTGTGATAATATAATTATTGATTTTCTTTGTCGATTTTCGTATAACCACTAACAACCAATCACACAAAACGCAAAGTATAAATAATATCACGTGACAATGGATTTTTGAAGCAATAACAAAAACTTACAGGCCTAAAAAATAATGTTCCTTGTAAAATAGTAAAATAAC